CCTGTGAGAACCCAAAGCACACACCGGAGTAAGTCACATAACCCTTCTGGAAACCCAGCCTGGGTATCCCAGCCTGGACACTAAGGAACGGCGGTGCCCGTAACTGTAATTAGAGAGCACTTTGGGAAATGTCTGTGGTACAGACAAAGCCCACTGTCAGGAAGGAGCCTTAGTATTTTTACCCATTGGGCCTCAGTTTATTCCTCATTGATATAAGGGTAAAAAATACCAAGGCTCCTTCTTGACAATGGGCTTTTGTTTGCAAAACATAATGATCCTCAGGTGAAAATTCAGTGGTACAAAGCAGCGAAAAGAGCGTGGCCTTGTTTGAAACCTGACCATCTGGTTAAGTAGGGCATCCCCTTTTACAGGCAAAAACATTTTGCTTAGAAGTACTATCAAAATTCTGGAGGAGTCTTCCAAACAAATACAAGGCATCTGCCCAGCGGCTACACAGACAAACAAGCCACTTCAGAGACAGGAACAAACAATTTTATTAGTGTGTGTATATATAGCAGATACCGTTCATGCTTCACTGCAAGTTAACTGAAGTCTCCTGATACATAATAGCTGGCCCTACTGCAAAAATCATGATTGCTTGTATCTAAACCTAGGGATATTTTCCTGCCACCACTAAATACCTCTTTTGAATTATAGTATATCTCAGGCATAACTATGGCTCTTTGATTGTCAGTCAATGTGAAAGGACTGTGACTGGACAGCATTAGATCATTCCCTACAGAATAACATGCCCAAGGTCTCCTCAAGGCGTCAGGCGAAGGTTCAGCTGTAGCTGATCACTGACATGGAGCAACATCAGTGTGTTACCGAGCTGCAATGAAGAGACAATAAACAATTAAAACACCAATTAAAATACTAAAGCAGAAGAGCATTTGAGATCTGTTACCATTGCCAGTCAGATGCAGTGCCCTTTCTGTTTCTGAATATGTTTTTTGCAGCTTACAAGCCTCAAATTCTTCTATAGTTCAAGGGAGATCCAAAATCAGACCAGGATTTGGATACATAACTCTGTATATTAATTAATTAACTAGGTTCAGTAACTACATCCCTGCTGTTGAGAAGTTGTGAGCAGAGGCATCAGGAGAGTGATCACAAGTCCTTCTGGAAACCACGTATAGCTTGTAACCATGAGAAACCCTCATAACATACAAGGAAAAAGGATTTTAAAACTTGCTTTCATGAACAGCAAAATATCCTGGGTACGCTGCCTTCCTGACGTAAGTGACACAGCCTAGACTTGTTAGGCGTTCCCCTGCAAAACTGCCCTCTTCTTTGCCTTGATCCTTATTACAGCTTCTTACAACTGTCCACTCCTGCTCTTTGTCAGAGACTGCTTTCACATCATTAACACCAAGACTGGGGTACCTCAGCACTTAGATGGGAGACCTCTACCACATTAGAGTTTGGTTTTAGCACTTTTCCAGAACTATATATCCTTCTTCTTGCTTTGAAATAATAGTTACCTGTTATTAAACACATCTGATAGAGTCCATCTCAGGCTCCAGTAATTCCTGTGTATTTCTACTAGGAATCTTTGTAGGATTTCTAGTTCCCTTGAAAACGAGGAGGAGCCTGATTTTTCAACAGCGTGACACTGGCTATAGTTCAGCTAGACTATGCAAAAACAGTCACAGGTATCTGCAGGGTTAGAACTGTATCACTAGAAACATTACTGAAACCCAAATCTGGAGGGCTGGTGGGGGGGAGCCAAGCTATTTACTTTAAAAATATAGATGAGATATACTCCTAATTTTTCCTGTTCAAATTGTATTTCTCATATGTAGCCCTTGGAGAAAAGTGAGACCACTTTTGGCGGCAGAGGGGCAAGTGAAAGCAACTCAGAACAACTGTTTTAAATACCTGAAGTAGAAAATAGGAATAATCCTTCACTGTTCAATCTTAGGGGCGAACAAGTCAAGACCAAAGGCTGGTGGAAGCATATGAAAGAGAAAACAAATATACGGAGCCTGGTGAGTGAAAGCTGGAAGGAAGACTGTCAGATGGAATTCACCAAGTACTAGAAATGTATCAGATGCAACAGCACATAAGGTATTAGAAAAGCACAATCGGGGAGCACAGCAGGTGCCATGTGTCAAAGGAACTTCATTCTTGGAGCTGATGAATAACACTGCTTATAGAGAAATCAAGTGAAGCACACCAGTGTAACCTGATGGAAAGCACAGCTGAGAGACAGCTGCATCTGATCTGTAGTACAGCTAGAAAAACAATGGTTAGCAAGTGTCTTTGGTGGCTTCTGTTCATAATCACTGTCAACCAACAGAGTTATTAGGAAGTTACTTTAGAGTAAAGATCTCTGTTTATGCAGCTTCACACCTGGCTGGATCAAGGCAGACAGGAAAGCAAACCCTCCTTTCTTTTCTGCCTCCCATGTAGCTTCTCCAAGGATGGTGCTGAATAAGGGGTAGTACCATCCCGGCAGGCTCCCCCTCCCAAGAAAGGGAGAGGAAACAGGAAAATAAATTTGCCACTCTTACAGTCCCATTTACCCCATCCCACCTGATTTACAGGCTTTTTTATTATTATTATTCTTTGTTGTTCTCTATGCCTTTGGTAGACTCTGCCGTGTTTATGGTGGTGTGTGACGTGCCGACAGGCGGTCCAGATCGCAGATGACATATTAATACGAGAAGGTGACAAGGCATTTGGAGCGCTTTGTCCAAACCACCTTCTTCTTACCGCTATCTACCTTTTTTTGGTCAACTATTACTTATCGACAGAGGCCAGTTCTTGGTGACTGTTGTGTGATTTTTTTTTTTAAACTATTCTTGCACTGTAGATTCAAGCGAAATAAGAGGAAAAAGCATGCATGAGGAAAAGTGCTGTCGGCCGTTTAAGACAGACTACCCGTTATTCAAAATTTATCTCAAAACGTTTGTATTACTGCTTCTGTCTGGCATAAATATGTTTTTCCTTCATTTAATTTGCTGATGGTTGTCAGCGCTGGAGAAATAACATTTCGATAAAGCTTTTTTTTTTTTTTTAAAAAAAAACCCTCAGTTCTTAAATTATTTGAATTATAACTTCTTACACTTTGCTCGTCTTTCAGGGTCAGGCGTTCCCATTTGACACAGCGGCACTAATAAATGTTTTGCTGTTTTCAATACTTTTTTAAATAAATACTTTTGGGCTTTTTTTTTTTTTTTAAAAGTAATGAATGAAAAGCCAATTTACAATAAAATAACGTTCAACGTCTTTTACGTCGAAGCTGACACCTGCTCTGTCCCTGCCCCAAACTCGGCGTTATGGGGCCTCGACGCCCCGCTCACGGCGTCCCTCTTCCCCCCGCCCCATCTCGGGCGAGGAAGGGGGGAAAAGGGAGCCGTCGACCCCTTGGCGGGAGCAGACAAGGCCGAGGGTTGG